TATAGAAGCACTAAAGGTAAAGAGTGGTTTTGGAATGGTTAGTTATTAGCACAACCAAATGAATAATTCATACGGAATTGAACATCACTTTAGTGAGGTCTTCTCAAAAGAAAGTGGGCATAGAAGAGTCTGAGACATCAAAATAAAATTGAATTTATCCCACCTAAGTAACCAAAAGTGAATTCCCAATTCACTAGAAACGTCAGCTTCTGTCTTTGTCACTTCCAATTTTCCACCCCTGAGTCCACTAATGGCTTCCTTTCTGGAGATTGAAACCCATCTCAGTTTCAGAGCACGCCTTTCAATTGTAGAGTTTGAACAGCACCCTCTGCCCCGCTTCCGTACTGTGCTTCATGGCGTTGCTGTAGCTTCTTGTTCACGTTTTATTTTTCTAAGTCAGAGAATTCTCTGTATAATCAAGAGTCCCTTTCAGTACTTATGCCCATGTAATGTACCCAGTGCTTAGTACTAAAAATCTGTCCCTGAACTTTTGCCAGTAACCATAGATCGTACTACTTTTCTGAGGCTCTTTTGTCAGTCCTATTTTCCTATATTCTTTCTACACATTGTTGCCTTTCTGCATACGGGCAAATACTTTGCCATAATCACTACAGTGCCTTATTTCCAAATTGAACCAAATTTCTTAACAAAAAGACCACTTCCTGTAGATGACATGTACCTTAGCACTGGGTACAATACTTGTGGGTATTTGACCTTAGATTGCCTGTCTACAAAATGAAATTAGATTAACTGGGTTCAGAATAAATATCCAGTTTAACATTGATGCCATGAACTCGATGTATGTGTAACAGAATTCAAAGATCAAGTGTTGTTTCTCACTGACATAAAATAACTAGGATAAACTTTTGAAGCTCGTAATTATACCAATCTTTGACTTTTCTCAAGGATAGCTTTGTTTGGAATTAGGAATAAACTATATATGTTTATTTTAGAGTGTAACAACAAAGTGAAATAGCTTGTAGCAAATATCTAATATTTATTTTCTCTGTGTATATTTTGAATGTTACTGTTTCTCAGTGTATATGTAAAGACTACTGATGAAAATATTGTTTTAAAACCTTTGTATTTAATATTTTTACAAGTGCTTTTGTTCAAATACCTTTTCCCATTTTTGAGAACTGAATGTCATGCTGTTGTCTTTCATGTCTTTCTCAGACATGCAGAACATGCTTCTTAGAGTTTGATTCATTACAACCTGAGAACTTTTCTTCTAGATTAATTAACTTCTCTATAGCTCCCAATTTATTAGCTGCTTTTCACCTTTTAACATTTTTTCTTCTTGGACTTTCAGCCCAAATTTTTTGTTGCATCTTAAGACTTTTAAGTTTTCGTTTTTAAAGTGGGATTTGACAAATGGGTGACCCTTATGAAAATGAAAATGCCAGTTACAAATAAAGGATAAAGACAAATCTATGGATCTAAGAATGGGATGGTTAAACAATGATTGGAGATCATCATTATATTTATAGGAGATGTGAGGTTACTATGCTGAGTTAGAACATTAAGCAGAAAATTTGTTAATGTGTGAATGAAACATTTAATTTTAATAAGAAGCTCTGATTAAGAGGATGAGATGAGAAGTCTGAGTCAACAAATTAAAATGTTAATCTAACAAAACAAGTAAAAGGGAGTTACCTGAAACTGTCAGACCATGCTTTTGTCTTCATCTGTACCTCACTGCTGGGAAGCTCCTTTTGTAGCTCTAATGTTTGTTCAACATTTTCATCGCTCAAGTTGACAAATGAAAATAATTATGATTATTACAAAGGCATAAAGATTTGAGGAAGCTTCTTTCACATTAAAGCCAACATGGTAATAGACTAGTTCTTTTGATTTATTATTTGATTTATAGAACCATCACATTTGAAAGCTTTATATTCTTACTTATAGAAGATAAGTACTGTTTTCGATGTTTCAGTTTTGAAGAATATTAGTAGTGCTAAAAGTAACTCTCAAGTACCATGTGATAAATAAGAAGAATGTGTTCTGCTTGAAATTGGCATTGATCTCAGAATCACCTGAACTGTCTTAAACCCATAAAAAGTCAAAACTTGCTGTTTAATTCTTTCAAAGCAAATTATTTTAAAGGTCAATATGTCATTTGAAATGTTTTATCCAATATTTATTTCAGTGATGTGATCTATGTGTGTGCCATAGTTTAGCATACAAAAAGTTATTGATTTCAAACATGTTTTTTACATTCATATTTATGAAATTACTTACCTGAAGGAGTAGAGGGACATTTTCACTGTAGTAAAATGTTGAGTGAGTGGATTATTTAATAGAAGAATCTCTCACTATCTCACTCCCATTAGGATGGCTATCATCAAAAAGATAGACGATAACATAATGTTGACATAAATGTGAAGAAATCAACATCCTTGTGCGTGATTGGTGGGACAGTAACTAGGGCAGCCACTTTGGAAAACAGTTTGGCAATTCCTCAAAAAGCTACACATAGAATTACCATATGACCTAGCAGTTGTACACCTAGGTATATATATCCAAGAAAAATAAAAGTACATGTCCATGCAGAAACTTGTACATTAATATTTATAGCCACCTTAGTCATAATATTCAAAAGGTAGAAACAACTCAAATGTCTATCACCTGATGAATGGATAAATAAAATGTAATGTATTTATATAATGGAGTACTATTCATAGGCCCAGGATCAGGCAGTGTTTTGTTCTGCTGTGCATAAGGTCGCTATGGGTTGGTACCGATTCAATGGCACCAAACAACAACAACAATTCAGTCATAAAAAGGAGTGAAGTACTTACTGATTTATGCTACAACATATGGGAACCTTGAAAACATTAAGCTAAGTAAAAGCAAAATGCTGCATACTAGATTGCATTTACATGATATGTCCAGAATAGGCAACTTATAGAGACAGAAAGTAGGTTAGATAATGCTTGGGTCTACGAGGAGGATGGAATGGGGAATGAGTACTAATGAATATGGAGTTTCTTTTTGGAGTGATGAAAATATTCAGAATTACATAGTGTTGATGCACATCCTTGTGACTTTCATGTTATGTGAATTATAATTCACTTAAAAGTCCTGGTATGGTGCTATAGGATAAGCACTGTACTGCTAAGTACAAGCTAGGCAGCAAACTCACCACTGCTCCTTGGAAACTCTATACAGGGTCACTATGAGTTGGGATTGATTTGGTGGCTGGCACTAAACAGCCGTAACAAAAATATTTCTTTTCAGGCTTGTTTTCCCAAATAAATGGACATTGAAAAATGGGGGGGGCATTTAAAAAAAATTAGAATTGTGAATTGAAGCGTTTTTTTTTTGTTGTTGTTGTTGTTGTTGTTGTTTTTAAATATATATATAATTAATGCCAGGACTGTCTAAAATAGTAAGCACAAAAGCAGACATTTACCTTAAAGTCTTGATATATATTAATATGTACCAAAATGCACTGTATAGAAATTTACCTTGAAGTCATGTTACATATATTAAGTAATATGTACCGATATGCATTGTATGGAACTTTTGCAAATCTGGATATGAGATCATTTACCAAAATTAAAAGTGCTGAGAGTGAAATATGATACAACAAATACCACTGTCTGTATTCTTCTGGTGTGGCACTGTAGGATCAGCACTGAAATGTGAACCACAGGGTCGGCGGTTCAGGTCCACTAGCTGTTCTATACAGAGTCACTATGAGTCAGAACAGACTCCACAGCACTTAACAACAGCAACATATTCTCTGCTTATATTTTGAATGTTATTGTTGTCATAGGAATGGAATAGCCGTTAAGAATGTCATGTAGTGGAAAGACCACTGCTGTAGAGTCAAATATATCTGGATTTGGGTTGTAGCTTGAAGTTTAAGACAGCTTCTTCCTAACTGATGAAAATACTTGATATCTCTGAGCCTCAATTTTCCCATTGTTTCTGAAAAATATCTAACAGGGCTATTGTAAGGGTTAAATGAGATACCATGAACAAAAGTTTCAAACAGCAGATTGAATGATAGTGGTATGAACTGGTCTTTGTTGTAGGCATATGGATATCATCCTATCACAGATAACATTGTACTTCAAGATAGAATCTGAAATGTTCTTTTTGGTGATGAATGTGATGCCATTCCTCTTCAATTTGTCATTCAAGGCATAATAAATCATGACTTTCAGATTCAAAATAGACAATACCAGTTCATTTCCACTCCCTAATGCCTAGGATATTGACCTTTATGTGTTCCATTTCATTTTTTTTTTTTAATTTCTAATTTTCCTAGATTCATACTTCATATGTTCCGCATTCCGATTATTAATGGATGTTTTCAGCTTTTTCGTCTCATTTTGAGTTTTGCCCCATCAGCAAATGACATTCCCAAAAGTTTAACCCCATCCATGTCATTAAGGTCAGCTCTGCTTTGAGGAGGCAGCTCTTCCCCGGTGGTGTTTTAAGTGTCTTCCAACCTGAGGGGCTCATCTTCCAGCACTGTACCAGACAATGTTCCACTGTTAATGTTTTCTTCACTGCCGCGCCTTCTTCCGGGACTATCTTAGTCTGGAAGCTCTGCTGAAACCATTCCACCCTGGATGGCCCTGCTGCTATTTAAAATACCAGTGACTAGCTTCCAGTAGTACAGCACACACAAGCCACCATAGTATGACAGACAAATGCTGGATAGATATAAAGGAATAACTATATGAATATGGGAGCGAACTCTGTGGCTTCATGTGATAAGCGCTTGACTGTAAACCACAAAGTCAGCAGTTTGAGCCCACCAGTTGCTCCATGGGAGAATTGTGAGGCTGTCTGCTCCTGAAAAGATTTGAATCCTCAGAAACCCTGTACAGGATCACTATGGGTTGGAACCGACTCCATGGCACTAAACAACAACAACATATATATATGGGGAGGTGGGAGAAGCAGAAATCATTATTTTTATGTAAATTTTTGAGCCTTCTTTATTTCTAGAGTTCTTATAACTGTTTTTGCTTTTCTAGATACAGAGAATTACAGCTTAGTGAGGAAAGCAAAGTGACAGAATTTCTCCATCAAAGTAAATTAAAAGCTTTTGAGTGTGAGCGTGTTCAACTTCTACAAGAAGAAACTGCAAGAAATCTCACACAGTGTCAGCTGGAATGTGAAAAATATCAGAAAAAATTGGAGGTACATGTAGAAGCCTTTCTTTTAGCATTTGAATAGCATGTAAGCTCCTTAAGTATAAGAATGTAGTCATATTGAACTTCAATTCTCCTGTAGGAGTTAGCATATATACACAAAAACAATATGTGTTTCTAAAAGATACATACAAAAAGATTGGAATTGTTAAAATGGGGAAGAAAATGACAGTCCCAACAGTAATCAAAAATACGCTATTACTTGGAATATTTTTAGTAAGAACAGTACAAAGCCTGTATCAAGAAAGTTAGAGAAATTTACTGAAGCATATATAGAAAATCAGTATTTAGTCATGTCTTTTTCAGTCTTCATCAAACAATATTATATGTTCACTCTTAATCATATGAAAACATACTTGCTTTAACTTTAAAAAGTATAATTTCATAGTACAACTGAAAGAAAAATATATGTGGCAATAATATTTTAAAGGCTCTTTAAAAATTGATTAATCAGAGGAAATGCATATTCTATTTTTAAATGTAATCTAAGGCAAGAATATTTAATTTTAGATTAAAGATTTACAGCCTTGGAAACCCTGTACAGGGTTGCTATGAGTCGGAACCAACTCTACGGCATATCACCACCACCACCAACCAAGCATCTGATATGTAGTAAAAGAACATATGTAATATAAACTATGAAGATCAGGAAACAGATTCACATATATTTTAAACATTTATTCAGGTAGAGATTATATTTCAAGTTAAAAGTGAAATGATGGATAGAACAGTAAGTGGTGCTTTGATAATCTCATTAATATTTAGAAATATTTGGACCCATACTTTGCACAATTTACCGTAATAAAAATCAGAGGAATTACAAAGTTGAATGTAAAAAGTGAAATAGTGGATTATTTTCAACAAAAAAAAAGTGCTATTAGCTGATAAATGAATGAAAATACATATTCTCACTGATAATTAAAGAAGTGTAAATTTAAAATATTTAACCTTTACACAGGTCTTTAAATTTTTTTTTTTTTTTAATGTTCTGTCAGTAGTACTCATAAGTGGGAAATCAATATGCAGTTAATAAATGGAACTGGTTTGAAGGAAATACAATAATCTGTACTGATCTACTATTACTAAATGGATTTTACCTAAGAAATTAATAAGAGATGGCCTATAAAGTTTATAGTCTTGGTATGGCTCTAAGCATCTAAGGAGCTCTGGTAGAGTAGTGGTTATGAGTCGGGCTACTAACCACAAGGTCAGCAGGAGAAAGATGAGGCTTTCTGTTCTCGTAAAGATTTACAGCCTCGGAAACCCTGTACAGGGTTGCTATGAGTCGGAACTGACTCCACAGCATATCACCACCAACAACAACAACCAAGCATATGATATGCAGTAAGACATACAGCTTTGAGCAAGAATCAATTCAGGGCTTTGAATAGAACTTGCTGTGGTGATGGAAATGGTCTCTATCTGTGCTGCCCAGTTCAGTAGCCACTAGCACTTAGAATGTCACTATTGCAACAGAGGAACTTAATGTTTTATTTTCAATAATTTTATATTATTGGGACATATATTTGTTACTTAAATGAACATTTAATGGATCCCTAAATATGACTGACCTACTTTATGCATTCATCTTTAAACTCAAATGTTCATATATTGATTTTCCCTAAAAATATAATAAAGGTATTCCATAAGTTTTTTTTTTTAATTTTTTTTTTTAAGCAAAGCAGCCACTTAGAAAGCCCATATAGTAAAAGAGAATTCTTCACCATGGGGTACCAGATGTGCTGGGAGATACCCAAGTAAGAAGTTCCCTCCAAGTTATGAAGAGAAAATTTTAAATTATGTCTTTTCAAATTAATACTTCTCATAAATTGCTTTTAAAAAATTTAATGATCCCTCATGTAAACTCAATTCACAATAAAAACTTAATAAATAAATATAAATTATAGCCCAAAAATATTTAATGAAAGATCCTGTCTTTAACATTTTGGTTTGTTGTCTTCTTAGATATTCATTTCTGCAGGTTTCTGTGGTGGTTTTATTGAGGAAGGGGGATGTAGATGAAAAGCATCAGTTATACCATGAAATCATCATTTGATACTCCCATTACTGATTCTCTTTTGCCAGGGGAATTAATAAGTGTTACAGATTTACATCAGCCACAGGATGGTTATTGAGTTGCATCCCAGTCTCTTGAGCTTCAGGAAAGCCCAGGTTGTTTCACTGAGCAGTAACTTTGTTGCAGTGAACTCATATGCTTCTAGAAGACACATTTTTAAGCTGCATGAATATTGTTGTTAAATGAAGTCAAGTTGATTCTACCTCATAGGGAACCTGTATAGGGTTTCCGAGGAGTGGGTGGTGAGCTCGAACTACCGATCTTGGGGTTCAAATGGCTTTGCACATTAACCCACAGTGCCCCATCAGGACTCCATAATTAAACAGTTTCTAAAATAACTCATTTTCTCTGATATTTAAATGTTATAAAATGTGTTTTGTGATGTAGGAAAAGATAAAGAAGACCTATTTATATATCTTAAAAAGTATAATTTCGCTTTCCTAAATTCCCTCTGTCTCCTTTCCTTCTATTAGTTACATCAAAACCAATACCTAAATAACACACATTATGTCTCCTATTCCCTTGAATACACAAGAACCCCGAGTGGTGTAGTGGGATATGCATTGGACGAACTACTAGGTCAGCAGTTTAAGTCCACAATCCATTCCCTGAAGAAAGATGAATCTATGCCTTCAGGCTTTACAGCCTTGGAAAGCCTAAGCAGGATCACTATGAGTCAGAATAAACTTGATGGAAGGGGATTTTGTTTGATATTTTTGGTTCCCTAAAATACAAGTATATTCCTTCTGAACGTTAACAAAGGGTTGCTATGGATCAGAATTCATAAGATTTTCAGAATGAAAATGGAATGCGGAAATCTGTGGAAAGAGATGAAGGAAAAGCATCCATATCATCAGTCAAAACAAGGCCAGGGGCAGATTGTGGAACAGACCGTCATCGATTACTCATATGTATGTTAAGGCTGAAGCTGAAGAAAATGAGAGTCAAAATACAACTTTAAATACATCCTACCTGAATTTAGAGATCATCTGAAGAACATATTTGAACACTAAAGAAGAATACTAATGACCAAAGACCAGAAGAGTTGTACGCTGACATCAAGAACATCATACAGGAAGAAAACAAAAAGTCATTAAGAAGACAAGAAAGAAGAAAAAGATCAAAATGGATGTCAGAAGAGACACTGAAACTTGCTATCCAGCATAAAGATGCTAAAGCAAATGGAAGAAATGAGGAGGTACAAGAGCTGAAAAGAAAATTTCAAAGGTCAGCTCAAGAAGACATGGTTAAATATTACAACAAAATGTGCAAAGATATGGAACTAGAAAACCAAAAAGGAAGAACACGCTCAGCATTTCTCAAGGTTGGGGAACTGAAGAAAAAATTCAAACCTCGACTTTTGTTATTGAAGGATTCTCTGGGAAGTTATTGAATGATGCAGAAAGCATCAAGAGAAGATGGAAGGAATACAAAGTCGCTGTACCAAAAGGAAATGGTTGATGTTCAACCATTTCAAGAGCCAATGATACTGATTAAGAGCCAATGACACTGAAGGAAAAGTCCAAGGTGAAGGAATTGGCAAAGGACAAGGCTCCAGGAATTAATGGAATAAAAATTGAAATCTTTCAAGAAAGTGAGGCGACATAGGAGGCACTCACTTATCTATGTCAAGAAATTTGGAAGACAACTATCTGGCTGACTGATTGGAAGAAATCCGTATTTGTGCCCATTCCAAAGAGAAGTGACCCAAAGGAATATGGAAATCATAGGACAATATCTTTGATATCCCATGTGAATAGTTTTGCTAAAGATAATATAAAAACAGCTGCAAGCATACATTGATGGAGAACTTCCACAGGTTCAAGCTGGATTCAGAAGAGGATGTGGAATGAGGGATATCATTGCTGATGTCCCACAGCCCTTGGCTGACAACAGAGAATTCCAGAAAGATGTTTACCTCTGCTTTACTGACTATGCAAAGGTTTTTGATTGTGTGGATCATGACAAGCCATGGACAACATTGCGAAGTATGAGTATTCCGGAACACTTAATTGTGCTCATAAGGAATCTGTACATGGACCAAGAAGCAGTTGTTTGAACAGAACATGGGAACACTGAATGGTTTAAATTTAAGAAAGGTGTGCGACAGGATTGTATTCTTTCACCATACTTATTCATCCTGTATGCTGGGCAAATAATCCAAGAAGCTGGATTATATGAAGAAAAATATGGCATCAGGATTAAAAACCTGCGATATGCAGATGATACAACCTTGTTTGCTGAAAGTGAAGAGGACTTAAAACATTTACTGATGAAAATCAAAGAGCACAGCCTTCGATATGGATTGCATCTCAATGTAGAAAAACAAAAATCCTCACCATTGGACCAATAAAAAACATTATCATCAACAGAGAAAAGATTGAAGTTGTCAAGGACTTCATTCTTCTTGTATCAATTATCAGCACTCATGGAAGCAGCAATCAAGAAATCAAATGACCTATTGCATTAGGCAAATCTGTGGCACAAGACCTTTTGAAAGTGTTGAAGAGCAAAGATGTCAGCTTGAGGACTAAGGTGCACCTGACCCAAGCCATGGTATTTTCAATAACCTCATATGCATGCAAAAGCTGGACAGTGAATAAGGAAGACCATAGAAGAACTGATGCTTTTGAGTTATGGTGTTGGAGGAGAATATTGAAAGTGTCATGGGCTGCCAGAAGAGCCAACAGATCTGTGTTGGAAGAAGTGCAGCCAAAGTGCTCCTTGGAGGCCAGGATGGCCAAATTTCGTCTCTCATACTTCAGACATATTGTCAGTGGGACCAGTCTCTGGAGAAGGATATCATGTTTGGTAAGGGTCAGAGAAAAAGAGGAAGACCCCCACAAGATGGATTGGTAATATGGCAGCATCAATGGGTCAATTGTGGCAACAGTTGTGAGGTTGGCCCAAAACTGGGCAGTGTTTAGTTCTGTTGTGCATAGGGTCGCTATGAGTTCGTACCGACTCGATGGCACCTAATAACAACAACAACAACATGGATCAGAACTGATTCAATGGCACTTAACAACAAGAGGTTAATTAAATTGTTGTTGTTAACCGCCATCTAATTGTTTTGAACCCATAGTGACCTTGTATAGGGTTTCCAACGAGTGGCTGGTGAGCTTGAACCGCTGGCCTTGCGGTTCGAACTGACTTTGCAGTCTGGCACATTAACCCGCAGTCCTATTCATGACTCCATAATTAAATTGTTGTTGTTAAGTGCTGTCAAGTCGATTCCAACCCATAGTGGCTCTGTATAAGGTTTCCGAGGAGCAGCTGGTGAGCTTGAACCACCAACCTTGCAGTTCAAACAGCTTTACAGTCTGGTGCACTAACCCACAGCTCCTTTTCCCTCCATGTGTTTGGAGTCCTCAGCTGCTCTGTATCTCCTTGTCACCATCTCTGCCTCCATCTGGTGTCGCCTCTTCCCTGGTTAGGGTCCCACACTCCTCTTCAACGCTTCTCCTTTGGTGGTCCCAGAGTCCTCTGCTTGACTTCGTACATGAACATTTTTTAAAATGTTTTATTATGAATTATGTGATAGTTTACATGGGAGAACATTAACTTTACATTCATCCTATATTGTTTCATTGCCATGGTTACAATCACCTCCATGAATCATCAACCAACCAAAAGGTATACCCTGCAAGCCTGCCCCTCTGTCGTCAGCACACAGCCCCTCCCTCTCTGGGTCTAAAGTCCCCAGTCGCTCTATCTCTCCACGTCGTCTCTGCCTCCATCTCTGGTGTCACTGTTTCTCTGGTAGGGTCCCACACTCCGCTCTTCTCCCTTGATGGTCCCAGGGACCTCCACTCCTGGACTGCAAAGTCAGTTACTCCCTCCTTTTGCTACAAAACGTCTACCTTTACATTTCCAGCCCTCACAATCAACCCTGATAACAGTTATTCACTATTGTACCACAAGGGACCTATCGCCATCTCCTTTAATCAGCCCCGCCCAGACAGATTGGATACTACTCAATGGAGATTCTGCCTTTTTCTGTGCCCTCTGG